CTGGCGGGCACCCAATATTCGTATACGGAGGGCTGCTGTTGTACGGACACCTTGATTAAAATACATGGACAGTAAGTTACTTGAAGGCACTTGACAATAAGCATTGTAACTATGTTGCTTTTTGCAATGGATTTTTGAAAGCCTTTGATAATGTGAAACACTCATTAGTTGCGGAAAAGTTAAAGGCTCTTCATCTTGATCCATATGTTGTTAACTGGTACCTAACAGCGTGCAAAGAAAGTAGTGTCCGATAGCCCGGGGCTAGTGGATTTTGCTATCGGGCTAGTGAATTTTGTTCTTAACTTGCCCGACAGGCAAGTGAAGTTTTTGAGGAATTCCAAATTACAGAAGAACTGTGAAATCAATTCTGCTCATCAAAACGTTTTTGGGGCTAGCTGAAATGACGTTTGGGCTAGTATATGCTGGCCTCAGCTTGCCCGAATGGCAAGCTGTAAAAATAACTTTCTTTGCACCCTGCCTAAGCATTCTAATGGATAGGAAACAAAGACAAATATTTAACCCGAACAAAGAAACAACCGAGGATAGCGTAAGTGGGGGCCATCTTTTGGCCATTACCAGCACAGTCAAATAGTCCGACGACACCACCCTGCTAGTCAAAGTAAGTATTATGAATGAAATAGATCTTTCTCAAGAGGTTGTCAATCAGTTTTTCAGTTGGAGACAAGATAATGCCATGGCATGTAATCCCAAAAAATGCAATGAACTGATACTTTGCAAGAGGGTTGCTCATGATATAGAACCTGTGAACAATATAACCCAAGTTTCTTGTTTAAGAGTGTTAGGGGTTACCTTACAAAGCAATCACAGATTTAGTGAGCATATTTAACAATTATTCCTCGAGCGCGAATGGGCTCTGTGTCAATAGCCCATGAGACCAAAGGCGGAATGGGCTATTGACTCAGAGGCCATGATAGCGAGAGGAATAATTGTTTTAGTAAAATCCAAATAGTTGGTCAAAAATATCAAGACAAAACAACTTTAGCTAGCAAAACGGGATTCAGCCGCCATTTTTCCAAGCCGGCGCTTTTCGCCTCTAGTGGGCTATAAGATATAGCCTCGTAGTAGCTGAACCAATCGGAACGCAGCATGGATAGTAGACCACTAGTTGGATTTTACTAATAAGGTTAAGCTGCAGGAGCCGAATAAGTGCCTGTCATATTGTTGTGTTCACACTTGCGGCGTGTCATTTGATGCATATTAGGTACATGTTAACTTCTTTTGTATAAATTCTGCAATTTACAAGAGTTAGTTTTCCAGTCTTTGTGTCACCCAGTTTCCACCGCCAAATGTCTGCTCACAATGACTTCTTATTTCACGAATGAAAACAGGCTTTCTTCTTAAGTTCAGCTCAGTGGCGGATCCAGGGGGAGGGTCCGGACCCCCCCCCCCATCAGAGCTGGCGCTTGTTTGACACAAATTCTTACATCGGCAGGGTCGTATATCACTTTTTCCTTGTTATCTGGCTGATTTTTCCTCAATGAAACGCGCGTTGCATTTTGCCACTAAACTGTATTCCAGGGATATTAAAAATAAAACCCTCCTACGATCTGTTCACAGAGCAAAATTTTCCAGGGGTATTAAAAAATAATTGTTTTTGGCTACCATCTTATGAACTGCTCGCAAAGCAAAGTTTCCTGCACCAACGTTCACAAATTGAAAAACACTTGGTCGTTTCTTGAGAGAAGTCAGTAATTTGCCACAAAAAAGTTCAGCAGTCCTTTCTGAACCAAAGTTTGAACCCTCCGTTAAAATATTCCTGGATCCGCCCCTGCTGCTTACTCACTTGCGTATCCTTCACTTTAGATTTTTTATGTCGTCTTTACATCTCTTTGCAACCTTTGGAGAATTTCTATATTTGTTAAACGGCCCTGTCTGTTTATTCGAACTTGACGAAGCACTTCATTCCAGAATGATGTAAAATATTTCAACTTTATAGTGAGTTGACTAACTTCTCCCCCTACACAAAGGAAAATAAGGAAATAGTGAGGAAATAATCTCTTCCCTACTTTGGTTCAATTTCGATTTTTAACCCCTTTATTTTCTATGCGGATAATCTACGAAGCTGTGTGTTTTTTTGTCCTTTCTCGGTAACCATTGGTTACTTGAGGGAGCTACTTGTTATCTCCTTGTTTTTTCCGCGCACTTGAACATCCATTTATCCGCTTTTTCTACAAAAACGGACTAATAATATTCAAATTTTCCCCCGGACTTGTCCAACTTATTTCAAAATTCCGTTTTCAACATACTTCTTAGACATTCACAGAATTTAAAACAAGGCTTTGGGGCTTTTTTGTGGGTAAGCCTGCATTTATAGATCAACAACTATCTCCATTAGATGCCCACTTCCCAAAGAAAAACAATGAAATCTCGAGAAATCGAACGCGCAGTCTCGTACTCACGATTTTTGGCTCTGATCATATGCGGTATACTGTACGTTAAGGGAATTTTAACGGATTGACAGCTTCTTTAACGCATGTAACGCATTCTTTAACGTTTTTTACGCACGTACAGTTTGGTCTCAACGCTGTACAAAAGTTCGCAATGGCCTTCTGTTAAACGAACTAACACGGTTAGTTCATTCATTCATTGTTTTGATTCAAAGTTGCAATGGGCACGCAATACATGCGAACGTAAACAAGCCAAGCGACGCGAATGTCCGCCGCACGCCGTGTCACAACACAGCATTTATCTTCGTTACATACGACCCACAGTTAACGCACGGCAAACAAATCGGCAATAGAAAACAACCTTTCGCTCAGTTAAATCGAAGTCGGCTGACCTTTTGGATTATATCTATACATCAGGGGCTGATCTGTTTGTTTTCACCGAGACATGGCTTACTTCTGATGACACTGCGGCAAAACTGGAGTTTATTCCACCTCAAACACACAAGTTTCTACACCATAATCGGTCTGGCCGCAAGGGTAGTGGTACTGGTTTGCTGTTCAGAGAAAACGTTGATGTGTCGAAAATTGATGCGGGTGAGAAAACCTCTTTCGAGTTCTCGGAATGGAGCTTAAATACCAACTCGTTTCGCGCTAGGTTGTCAATTATCTATCGTCCACCCTACTCTAATCTGCATCCGGTGTCTCTGAAAACGTTTTTTGATGACTTTGCTTCATACATGGAGAGTATCATTCTAACACCAGAACCGCTTATCATTACGGGTGACTTTAATATCCATGTTAATAATACGAACGATTCTGATACTTGTGAATTTTTGGATTTGCTGGCGTCGCTTGGCGTAAAACAATATGTCATTGGTCCTACCCACGAGGGTGGCCACACCCTGGACTTGGTGATCACCAGGCAATATGATCAGGTTATTAAGTCCGCCCCGATGATTGATCGGTTTATCTCTAACCATGCCGCAGTACTGTGTCAACTTGATTCAGTGAAACCCTGTACAGCTGTTAAGGAAATCAGTTACAGGCAGCTAAAATCTATTGACATGGATGCACTCAGAGCTGATTTCACGACGTCTGAATTGTGTACCAATGTTTTTATGGATTTGGATAAGATGGTCTTCTGCTACAACTCCACACTGTCGTCGTTAATTGATAAATATGCCCCCCTGAGAACTAAGTCTGTTGCTAATAGGAAGCGTGTGCCTTGGTGTAACCACAAAATTAAGGATGCTATTAAGGCTAGGCGGAGAGCTGAGAGGAAATGGCGCTATTCTAAATCTGCACAGGATCTAAGTGTTTTCAAAAAGAAGAAAAACCATGCAATATACTTGATGAACCAAGCTCGCTGTGATTTTTACACCAATCAATGCACAGAAAATTGAGAATATAAACGCGTCTTTGGCTAATTTATCTACACCATCCGTACCATCTCTACCTGCTACTGACATTACTTGCCTGAAAGAACAGTTTACCGGTTTCAGGACTCTCTCTCAAGAACAAGTACGCTTGTTGATTAGTAGAGCAGCGGGTAAATCTTGTCAACTCGACCCCATTCCCACTCCGATTGTTCTCAACTTGCTGGATGTTCTATTGTCAGTTATCGCTAAGCTGATCAACCTCTCTTTTGACACCGGTCGATTTGCTGAGGCCTGGAAAGAGGCGCTTGTGTTACCATCTCTCAAGAGGCCTGGTTTGGACTTTGCGTTCAAAAATTTCCGTCCAGTCAGTAACCTCTCTTATATTTCTAAATTGTCGGAGAGGGCTGGGGCTGAGCAGTTTACGGAGCATCTGACTGCCAACAATTTACATTCTCTGCTTCAATTGGTGTATAAACAGCAACACAGCACGGAGACGGCCTTACTTAAAGTTAAGAATGATATTTTGATGTCTATGGATGAGAAACAGGTCACCTTGCCTGTATTATTAGATTTAAGTGCAGCTTTTGACACGATACATCATGATAAGCTGATTGGTCGTCTTGAGTCTGATTTGGGAATAACTGACAATGCGCTTGCCTGGTTTAAATCGTATCTATCTGACCGGTTCCAGCGTGTCTCTGTAAATGGTAGTCTCTCAGATCAGTTTCCTTTAAAACAAGGTGTTCCTCCAGGATCATGTTTGGGCCCTTTGCTTTTCACTATCTACTCGCCCAAACTGTTTCAGATCGTTGAACGCCACCTCCCACAAGTTCACTGCTACGCGGACGATACACAGTTGTATGTATCATTCAGCCCCAATCGATCTGCGAATGCTGATTTTGCCATCAAGTCCATGACTGACTGTATCAGTGACATTAGGAGTTGGATGATTTCAGATAATCTTATGTTAAACGATGACAAAACAGAGTTTTTAATTATAGGTACTAGGCAGAAGCTGGCCAAGGTTAACATCAATTGCATTAGGGTTGGGTCGACTGATGTTTGTCCTGTAACAGTAGCTAGAAACCTATGCTCATGGTTTGATGAGCAGCTCACTATGTCAACTCATATTAGCAAGTTATGTGGTGTTGCCTTTTAGCATTTGCATAATATCAAACGTATTCGCAACTATTTGTCTCGAGAACGAACAGAAATGCTTGTCCATGCAATTATTACATCTCGTGTTGATTTTTGTAACAGTCTTTTGTATGGGCTGCCCAACTACCAGCTCAACAAATTGCAGAGAGTTTTGAATGCCTCAGCCAGGCTAGTTTGTAATGCCCACATCTCACCCCTTCTTCGTGGTCTCCATTGGCTTCCTGTTAAAGCCCGGATAGAATTTAAGATACTGCTTATTACGTTCAAAGCAATTCACGGCCTTGCTCCTAAATATCTATGCGATTTACTGACATTTAAATCGTCCATATATAACCTTAGATCTTCAGATAGTATTTTACTTTCTATGCCAGCTGCTCGATCGAAGACGTTAGGTGATAGAGCTTTTATGGTAGCAGCGCCAAGGCTCTGGAACTCTCTTCCAAAAAAACTTCGTGCAATTACTAATGTGAACAGTTTTAAGGCGCATAATATGACTTATCTTTTTAAAACTTTATATTGGTGAGCAATTTTATATTCAGTTCTGACTTGCATGCATATATATTCTTTTCATTTTTTATTTTTTAATGCATTATCTTTTATTTGTTTCTTTTAAAGTAATGTAGTTGTAATGCGCAACTGATCATTCTCATGTTAAGCTGCGCATAATAAGTTCATAAATTATTATTATTATTATTATTATTATTATTAAAAATATACAAGGTACACTGAGAGAAACAAACTATTAAATGATTTAAATTTTCGCTTTGGAAAATAATCTTCCTCGCAGCACAGAAAGAAATGTCAATGGTTTGGCATATTGTCAATAGTTTGACAAAATTTTTGTTCTCAGTTGTCGAGCGCTAAAGAAGATGTCACGTGAATGATGCATAATTTCATTGCATATTTTTGGAAAGGAGGTGATTCATTAAAATCTTATTGAGCAAAATGACCTCGCAAACAAGTCGTTCTTTCAAGGTTGAACCGTAAATGGGGCAGACTCAAAATCTTCACATGCAAACCGTGTTCTACTTTTAAAACGTTTGGGTTAATTAGATTAAGTCGCATTCTCTTATAATCGAACCACGAAAGCGGCAAATGCCAAAGCTTTCACGTGCAGACTGCCTGGCAATACAACTCAAAGTATAAAGGGCGTAATCATATGAGCCATAGAAGCAATGCGCATGAACAGTGTGTTACCCGCTATCCTTTTTCTTGTTTGGTTCATTCACCAGGCTGCCCGGAAAGCGCGATTACTTGGAAAATGTCCACCAGGGATGCCGGCATCACAATACCGGGATCCCAGCTAACCGGGCTAGCTCGCTTGACATATAATCGAAATTGATTGTTGTTGTGTTTAACTAAGGTTTCGGGTCTTACTTGCTGTGTCCTTTTTCTGCGCTCTTGAAGATTAGTTTATCCGCTATATACCACAAAAATGGACTAATAATATTCAGATTTCTCCCCGAAATTTTCCAACTTATCTCAAAATACCGTTTTGGACATACTTCGTAGACATTCCCAGAATTTAGAACACGGCTTTGTGGCTTTTTTGTGGGTGAGCAAGCATTTATAGATCAACGACTATCTCCATTAAATGCCCGTTTTCCGGAGAATAACACAATGAAATCGCACGCAGTTTCATACTCAGAATTTTTCGATCTGATCATATGCGGTATATTTAACAATTAATGAATGAGGCTGAGTATCTTATGAAGAATTATGGAGATTGAGAAGGGTGTTATCCGTCGAGGCCGTAGGCCGAGGCGGATAACACCCTCCGAGATCTCCATAATTCTTCATATGATACGAAAGCCGAATTCAATAATTGTCTTATCATTCATTCAAAATAATTCCTAGTTTAAAAACATAGCTAAAGCATGCTCACCTCCATCGATTTTAAGTTCATCTTCGATAGTGCACGTTTAGGGTTGTTCAGCTCCGCAAATATTCTCCAAATAGCAGATATAGCCCTTCGACTTGACTTCTTGCTGTTCTTGACATGTTTTTAGCTATTATTTCGCCTAGTTCTTACTCTTGAAACGGGTGAAATGTCCGCCATTTTTGTTTTCACAACCAAAACAACTCAACCTCGTCCCCAGGTCTTCTCGGTTAACGGTGCATTAACCTGCAAGGAAGCTGCACTTTTGACGTCATCGGTTCATTAATCGCAAAATTCTTCCAAATTTGGTCATCAGTAGCTGGTTATGGTGAATTATGCGTGTGCTTTTTAGCCAATCAGAATCGGGAAAATATTTTGAACGAATGATAATGTGTGTTAAGGGAATATTAACGGATTGACAGCTTCTTATTAGTAGTAGCTGTTTATTAACGCATGTATAGTTTGGTCTCGACCCTGTTCAAAAGTTCGCGATGGGCTTCTGTGAAACGAGCTAACACAGCTATTAAAAGTGCATATTGGATCGGTTATTTAAACGAAATCTTACTCAGGCCGGCGTTTACGATATACTTGGACCTACAGATCTCTTCCTTAGGTCATTTTAAGAAGGTGAATGCTTGTCTAGTTTATTATGCTCTCGTGAAACTGTTTGGGCAAACTAAAAACAGCCTAGAATGTGGTTTAGCCCCCGTTTAAATAACTGGTCCATTGCGTTTTTGTAGGTAAGCAGAGAAATTAGTTTAATTAATTACAGTTATTTTATTTATTTGTTTGTTTGTTTGTTGTTCCTGTTGTTGTTGTTTTTCAATTATTAGGATGTAGCAAGTTCAAAAGTTGCAATTATTAAATTTTGTTTTCAGTTCAGTCAAGGATGTACAAAACATTGCAAAAATTGTTTTGATTTCTTATATCAGTATAGATAGATAGATAGATAGATAGAAACTTTATTTATGTGTCAAGAAAGAAAAACCAGCCGAGGGGCAGGCCCTCTACTAATAGGGGACACCTACAGTTATAATATAATAGATACAATAATTAAGTACATAAAAAAATCCATACAATATGTTACAAATTGTTAGCTAAAATACTAAAGCTGAGTACTAAAATGCTAAAATTGTTTCCGATGAGACATCAACTATCACACAGAAGACATCCTTTGCATCCATCATCAATAAGAGATGTCAGATCCTTATTACGCATTCGGTTTCTAAAATCACGTAATGATTTACACGTTTTATCATTTTTGTCTAGCTTACTCCATAAAATGGGACCTAAATCTTGTTTGTTGAACGGTAAGGAATATAAATTAAGGCCACCAGGTGTCCCTTTTGTACAAGTATACCCATCACTGAGAAATATGACGGATCTCCAGCGATTTTTATGCTTTTGCATTAAGGCATGTTTGGCAACCATTTGAAAAGTTGCTCGTATACTTTTGTTTTGATCAATTAATCAAGGTTTATTTTTCTATCTATTCACAGAATGACATTTATATAATAACATGTATAATAAGGATCGGGAGATCCTAACATCCTAACATAGCATGTTTGGCTTACAAGGAGACCTCCTATGAAAGGTAACACAATCAACTCTCTCTATGACGGACGGCTTTGAGACTGTCACTGATATAAGTGTCTGTCTTACGTAGAGTCAAAAAAAGGAGTAAAGAGAGGTATGGACCAACTCCAGGTGTCCGTCTTATAGAGATGTCCGCATATTAGAGGTGTCCTTTAAAACAAAGTAGTACATTTCTTTGCGGAGCCTCCATTGCTATACCTGAAAATTTTGTTATGACAACAGCATACGCCCGTCCATCCGTACAGACTCCCCGTACAGGGGAGTTAAAGGGAAAGACTCTTAAAGTTAGGGAAAGGGAGCCCAGACATGCAGCTCGCAATTGTCTTGACGAACGTGAGCCTGTTGAGAGGAAGTCAGTCCATTAGAGTTTTTTTTTTTTTTTTTTTTTTTAATAATGATAGTAAAAGTAAAACTTATAAGGTCGATATAAATATTCGCTATTTTCATTTGCGGTTTTCCGACCTTTTCTCTGGTTAGTTTCCACATCAGTGTCCAAGGGTGAATTTCTCTTGCGGGACTGTATACTAACGTTTATTGTCTGAACCTGCGGTGAGGCACTCACAAAGAAATTAAACGAATTTGCTGTTCCTTAGTGAAGTAGCAGGCAGCTGAAAATCGCCCAAACTTCCTTCGTTTCCTTCCTGTGTTGCATGTAGAACTATTTTCACAGATTTCTTTAACTCGTTAATGCGAAATGTGGTCAAAAACGGATTCGCGGCTGAATTGAGGAAAAGAAAAGCGACACTTGCCTCTACGAGCACAAAAAACCAGTTTTGTTCACCACAACTCGCGCAATGAGCTGCAATAATAATCGCCACAAAATATGGAGTGAGCGAAAGAATCAGACATGCCAAAATAAAAAATGAAGTTGTTGCGAATTTTCTCTCCATTTGTGCTCTTTTTACTCGTCGCATATCTCGAAGTGTTAAGTTGCTGGGCAGTGCTGTTTGTCTTTGAAAACCAATCCGAAATGATTGCTTCCTCAAAACGAAAAACATTCCCAAATAACATAAAGTGCTGGTAGAAAGAGGAAAAATGGCGTGCAAATATTGGTCTACGTTTCTGTAAACTTCAACTGAAATGCCAGGATGAAGTTGGAGCAGAGCGAAAATCATAGAGAAGATAATGATCGCTGTATTAAAATAGACGAGTTTCCGTGGACTGGCTTTGCGGAGATGAAAATGAGGAAAAACAACCGCTATAAGGCGATCGACCGACATCGCAGTTACCAGGAGAATAGAACTGTTGATTGCTCCATAGCCGATTATTCTTAAAATGTCTCCTTCTTGAGGGAGGCTATGGTCGCCAAACGCGCACAGAAATCTGATTGTTGTTTCTCCAATGCATACTACGGTGCCGATGAAGAAATCCACTCCAGAAATAAACGCCAAAAACACGGAGAAAGCTTTTCGAAAACAACGAAGAGGGTTTCTGTAAAGTACGTACAAGACGATGCCATTTGGAACTACAATAAGAAATGACAGAATCATAAACGATATACCAGTACCGAGACAAATTTCCTTCTCAAAATGGATTTCCATTGATAACATGAATCACAGGGTATTTGCAGCTTCTTGAATCCGGTTCTTTCCAATCAAGCGCTTGCACACCAACTAATTCGGTTGCTTGTTAAACCAGCTCAGCATGTATTTATCATTAAAATACACGTGTGTTGTATTGGTTGTCACTGAGGTTTAATATCTGAGCACTTAGCACTCATCCTGTCTTAATCAAACAAGACAGCAAGGAGCTTCCTTTGGGGGAAATATATTTGTATTTTGACAAAAAAATCGACATTAGAGCACGTTATAGTTTTTTTGCATTCCGAACATCTGTTGCCAAATACATGTATAAGTTTTGCTGAACAAATCAACTGATTAAGTGTACAAAACTTCAATTTAAACAGATGAGGTAAAAACCTTTGCTTTAAAGATCTTGCCAAGCTTTTCGCAATTTTTTTCTCGTTTGTTCGCGGTGAATCTTTTGATACATCTGTACTGTCGCAATTTGTAATAATCATCGCACTTTGTAATAATTCCATCGCACTTTGTAATATTTTTTTGAGAGTGATTCAACTTACCCCGTCAACATTAATATAATGCAAAAAAATAAATGGTACTTCATAAACAAAGGTGATGACGTCTGCAAGCACGTGAATTACAAATTGCTTATATATAATTTTCAACGTATCTCCGCTCATTCACGCTATTTAACTTTATTCACGGTCCTAAATATTTTTTTTAAAATTAATGTTGAGTAGTTATCTGACTTACGAAATTCTGTATTCTTAAACCTTGCTATTGTACTAGGTGGTTCGCATGCAATGGTTACCTGGGGGCGTACTCTCTTATAGGGCCAATTCGACGATGTGCCACTGGACAGAGCATTGTCAGAGTACAGAATCTAGATACACTAGACGCAAACGCGCCATTATTAAAAGACATTTCATTTCCCCAAATCGTAACATCCATCTTTACATCATTTGAATAAGGACACCGGGAAAGTTCAAGCTTTCCTTTTTAGATCTTATAACAGGTCGACACAACACCGTCCTTGTCTAACGCGCAATCTTAAAAGAAGTAATAGCTGTTTCCTTATTTTGCAAAACTTAATCAGACGAGGCCTGGAAAAATTCAAAATGTTAACTGCAAATAGACAAAAACGTCATCAGTGGCAAATGGTCGAACCACAACAAAAACATAAACACAAAATCCAATTATGTATGTACCTGTTTTTTTATAAAACTCACTTGGGGTCATACACTGAGCCGGATGGCCATTTGGTCCATTATTCCCTCCCGATTTGGTCCCATATAGGAACAAACGAAGTACTCGTTGCATCTTAAAACAATTTTTTATGGAGCCCTCTAATAAAGCAAATACCGTGTGCGTACAAGTCGTAAGACCTTGCAATTCTTCCGAGCATGTTCAGGATTCAAACTTTTTTTTCCACAAAATGGAAAGGATAATAAACCATCCATTACTACTTGACTTACCCCATCTAAGGATCAAACCAATGACACAAAGCCAACAAGTTAAGAAATGATACCCTATTTAAGGCGCGAGATCCTCAAAAACCATACCCTATCAGGCGATGCATACCTATCTACCCTATATAAGGGAGCTAGAAAGTAGAGACGAAAGATGATCATTTGACATCCGGAGAACAAACAGTACCCAAGCGAAAGCAAGGCTGATTTATTTTAGGAAAAACGCATTATAAATTTCAAGCAATGATCACGTGCGGTTCGTAGAATAATTATAAAGCATTGTTACGAGCGATAACCATGATAATCCTTATTGAAACCACAAGATTGATAACAGGCATGTTACAATCATTTATAACAACAAATACAGCAACAAAAGTAAACTTTATTTACAGAGAAATAAAGTGCATATTCTGTGCTAACGACTAACGTGCAAGTAGCAATGCTAAACGAGGCGGGCCATTAACTCAGAATATCAGCTTTATATCTTACATATTACAATTAAAATACTTTCAAAAATAGCATCAGATAGTCAAATACGTAAAAGTCATAATATTTACAGTATGAGCGGAGCGGAACAAAAAGCTAAAAAAGAAAATAAAAAGTAGAGCGAAAAAAATGAACTGAGTACTGTAGATTGTTACAGCGAGAAGGGTAATAGGAAGCTAGATGTAATAATTTATATTTGAAATAGAGTCTGTACCATGTGGTAAAAAGGTTAGGTAAAATTCAGTCATTTAATTGGGCTAGAAAGTTCCAGAATTGCACCTGTTCGAGTAATTGTCTTCATCAAAAACCTATGCAAAAAGGGGGAAGCATCTGTCAAATTTCACAAGTAGTTTTAAATGGAAATTCAGTTTTTTCCGGTTGATGAAACGTTGTTGATGGCTCAGGAGCCCATAAACCGGGGCCTGCAGCAACTACTCGCGTCGTGTAACAGCGTTTTAACCGACCAGTTTATTGATACCGAAACCATTTAGGGCCGAATTTAGAATTGTCCCACAAAACAGTAAGCAAAACTACAGATCTAGAAATGGTATTTTTGATCTTATGATTAATGACATTTAGTTTTCGAGTTTGTCTCCGTTTGATATCTAAAACTTTGATATCTTTTGATATCTAAAGCGTTCATTCTCCTAAATGCATAAGGATCAGAGCAGCTGAGACTGAGATGCAGTAAAGCATTATTACATTGTCACACTGTAAAAAGTTTGAACAGGATTCATTTCATAAGTAGGCTGAGCCAGTAGCCCATCACACAGTGGTGGATCCAGGGGAAGGGTCTGGAGGGTCCGGACCGCCCTAACCCTAACCCTAACCATCCTCCATCAGACCTGTTTATATCAAAGGTAAATATTCTACTGTTCAATAATTCATTATTATCAACTATTTCCGGATTTGTCATAACTTGAATGAATAATTAATGAATGCAACCAACACTTTTAAAAACCGTGTAATTACTACATGTATTCCAATCATCTTTTAATGGTGGGAAGAACGGAAGTGCCCTCGGGTAAACCTTTTTATAACCAGATCACGGCCCTTTTCTTTTTCTATGAGGCGCGCTGCTGATTAGTCGAGTCATTAAATGTCTTTTTTGAAGAATGGGACAAAACATCGCCAGAGTCTCCACGGTGCAGAAGTGTATTGGTTTATTATCACCAAATAGCCAATTTTTTCAACGGGGTGGTAAGTACACATTTTGTTAATACATTTGCATATATTATTAACAAGTGTATTAAAGTGGGATTGTAATATGTTTAGATACAATTTTGATAGGGTTCATAGATCAGTGACTGATTGGAGGACAAAGTCCCTTAAGAGAACTGTTGAAACAGCCTCGTATTGGAAGTGACTCAAGTCAAAAATGGTAAACCACTTCGAAAAGCAAATCTGTCTCGGTACCGGGATATCTTTTTTGTTTCTTTCGCTCCTGATTATGGTTCCAAATGGCATCGTCTTGGTTGCACTTTACAAAAATCCCCTTCACTGCTTCAGAAGACCTTTCTCAATCTTCTTGAAGTTTATTCCTGCAGTAGACTTCTTCACTGGCATCATGGTATGTTCAGGGCAAGCCTTGACGCGATTTCTATGTGCTTTCAGCGACGGAAGCATTCCTCGAGAAGGAGACGTCGTAAGAATATTCGCTTACACAGCAATCAACAGTTCTATTCTTTTGGTGACTGCAATGTCTGTAGATCGCTTCACAGCTGTTGTTTTTCCGCTCTTCTATCTTCGTACAGTCAAACAACGAAGCCTTGTCTTCATAAGCACAGGGTTGGTTATTTTCTCAGCATTTTTTGCAACACTCCAGCTCTCTAGTATTTCAGTCGGTGTTTACCGTGTCATAGACCAGCATTTAAACACTACATTTCCTCTTTGTGTTACTACCTTATGCTATCTGGGGATATTTTTTGCTTTGAGAAGAAAATCCTCTCGTGTTGGATTTGAAACAAAGCGTACAATACCAAGCAGTGGAACAGTTCAAGACACATGACAAGCAAAAAGGGCACAGATGGAGCGAAAATTAGCCTCAACGTCATTGTTAATTTTATTTTTTCTCTTTCTTTCCCTTATCCCTTATTTTGTAGCTGTTATTATTTCAGCCAATTGTCAAAAGTGTGGTGAGCAAAAGTGGTTTTTAATGCTCATACAATCGAGTGCCTTGTTTCTCTTTCTCAATTCAGCTGCGAATCCGGTATTAACCATATTCCGCATCAGAGAATTGAAGAAGTCAGTTAAAATAATTCTTCATCTGAGACAAGAAGGAAATGAAAGAAGTCTGTATTTTGAATGACTTTCAACAGAAGATTAATTTGCTAAGAAGTAGTAATTCTGTTTTTGTGTGGGTAGGTAACTACAAGGTGCCAAAAGCCGGTAAGATTGTCTAGAAAACTGGTAAAGTTATCTAGTTTTTCGCATGGCTTCGTTTTTATAAAGTTAAACAAGCGGTTAGTACCGTAGACGATAAAGATTAAGACAGCACTGTATAAGAGATAACGATGAATCAAAAATTAACTACAGTAGTATACTATGTTGGAAATCAAGCCCCTTCTCGGACTTCCCTTGGACTTTCCGCATACTAATTTGGATTTCCTGTATACTAATTTAGTGCTTTCCTCCATATATAATGAAGTGGATAGTCGTTTCTTGAAAGAACACAATAGGCTTGCCTCGACTTGCCGTGAAGTAACTTGAGCTCGGTTTACGGAACGTCTATTAAAAGGAAAATAGGAATACGAGGAGCGATCGCCTCGAGAAACGGTTTCCTATATCTTATTTAGCGCTCAAACTCAGATATATAAACAAAACACATACACAAAGTGGAGTTGAAAAGTCTTTATTTCAATTTAGTTTATGTCTTCTCATTTAGCGCTAAAACTCGGATACATCAACAAAATAAACACACATATACTCGAAGTGGAGCTAAAAAGTCTCTATTTCAATTTTGTGTGAGTATTACAGAACCGCGTTTTTTCCTATCTATCTCGAGGAAATGAAAAACTATTGAAGTCTCAGCGTTTCACGGGCCGTTAGTCAGGTAATTATGCGAGTTCACAAGCC